CCCCCCGAACACTGCACCACTCCCCCAGCCCCTATAGATTCTCCCCAGCCCTCTCTCCGCCTCCTGGCCCCTGTAGCTCCACCCCGGGCCCCTAAATCCGCCCCTACACCCGCCCCTACATCTTGCCCTCAACGCCCTTAACGCCACTCACGCGCCGTTCCCGCCGCTCCGCTCTCAAACGGTCCGACATGCCCCGCCCCTCCTTCCTGATTGGCTGCTCGCCCCCGCCTCCCTTCCTATTGGCTCCCCGCCTGCGCCACGTGCCCCACCCTCCCGCGCTGTGCCCTATGGGAGTTGTAGTCGTGTCCCCCCTCCGTACATTGGGCTGGCCGCCATCTCTCTCCCCCTGCCCCATTCCCATCCCTGCTGCGCCTACCGGGCCGGGGCGGCCCCTGAGGCGGGGAGAACCGGCGGCCCAAGCGCTGTCTAGCGGAGAGAGCCCAGCCGAGGGCCCAGGGGCCTTAACGGCAGCCGCCTTCTCACAGATCAGAGCTGACAGCCCCAGCCCCAACAAGCCCCCGCTGCCCGGCCGCCGCCTCATCCCTGTTAATTAGCGTTGAGAAACGAGCACCGGGGACCAGCTGGGGCCTGGGGCGGGACAGCCACCCCCGCACCCCGTCCCCAGGGCCACCCACGTGTCCCCAATGGCTCCTGTCCTCTGACCCCACCGCAGCCACTCAGCAGGCGGCCAGTGGCCCCGGGCCCCCGCTGTCACCTCTAATTGGGACACATTCTGCCCGCGCCGAGGCAGCGGTGACGGGTGCGCGTGCCGGAGGGTCCCCACGGCTCTGCGTGGCCTGACCGCATCCCACCCCCCTCTTGCAGTGGGGACGCCATGTCCCTGAGGGGTCACCCGCCCGTGGGCCCACCTGGGCTTTGGGGACAGGGACATGGCGGTGGCGGCATCTCCAGCGTCCCCACTGGAGGTGGCTGAGGGGACACCAGCGCTTGCTGGGCCGATTTGGGGAGCCAAGCGAGGTCGGTTGTGTTGGGGTTGGCAGGAGGACCCCATCCCCGGGGTGGGGGACATAGGCTCTGCCCCACGCGGGGACACAGACAGCAGACGGGGAGAGGTCACAGCTCTGCTTTACCATGGAGTCGCCCCGGGGTCGGGCAGCAAGGCGTCTCCCCCCCGCCCCGGCCCCAGCGCAGCCCCCCAGCATGGGGCTGGCCGGAGATGTGGAGATGGGGGGGCCACCCGTATAGACATCTGCGCGTCCTGTACATATATACACGCTGACGGGGACCCGCTGGCCCCCGGCATCGCCCCAGGTGTGGGGAGGCAGCGGGGAGCGGGTTGCCATGGGGCCAAGGGGGGTGCGCAGCCAGGGGATGGGGGTGCAGTGGGGCAGTGCAGGGGGGTCCCCCAGCCTCTTGCTAACCCCCAGCCCCCTGCGGCCCCCCAGCCCTGAATTAGCAGCCATGGGGTGAGCAAATGGGAAAGGGGAGGGGTTGGGGCACCGTAGATTGCCTGGACCACTGTGGGGGGATACCGTGGGGCTGGACCGTGGCAGAGGGATGCCGTGGGGCTGGACAGTAGCAAGGGGAGGCTATAGGGCTGGACAGCAGTGGGGGGATGCCGTGGGGCTGGACGTTCATTGGGGGGAATGCTGTGGGGCTGGACGTTCATTGGGGGGAATGCTGTGGGGCTGGATGGCAGTAGGGAGCTGAACCCCAGCAGAGGGATGCCGTGGGGCTGGGTGGTTACTGGAGGACACGGTGGGGGGATGCCGTGGGGCTGGACAGCAGTAGGGGGATGCCATGGGGCTGAAGGGCCGTGGGGCGATGCCGTGGGTCCAGGCTCAGTCCGAGTAGATGATGAAGCCGGAGAAGGTGCTGTACTTGTTGTTGTTGCCGCCGTGGGCTTTGCCCCCATCCAGCTTGATGAAGACCTCATCCCCCGCGTCCAGGTGCAGGATGACGCTGTTGCTGGCATAGTCGTAGTTCTGGTCGGCGTCCTGCGCGATGGCGCTGGCCCGCACCTGCGCAGGGGACACCCACGTTACCCGGCTCAGGGGACAGCTCAGCCCTCAGATCCCACGGGACACCCAGAGTCCCAAATCACCCACAGCCAGGGAGACCACCCGCCAGCTCTGGGATAGCATGGGGTGCCCTGGATCCCTACCCATGGGTGAATGGGTCCTGGATGGAGGTGGCTTCTCTCAGCATCACCCAGAGCCTCTCCCTGACCTGGCAGGCTCAGATGTGGGACCACAGCTCAGATGTGGGACTATAGCACTGGGTTCAGGTGTGGGACCACAGCTCAGATGTGGGACTATAGCACTGGGTTCAGGTGTGGGACCACGACTCAGATGCAGGACCACAGCTCTGGGTTTGGATGGGGACCATGGCTCCTGATTCAGATGCAGCACCACGGCTCAGACACGCAACCCCATCTCTGGATTCAGATGTACGATGATGGCTCAGACATGGGACCCTGACTCCAGGTTTGTATGCAGGACCGTGGCTCAGACATGGGACCACGGTTCAGACACAGGACCCTGCCTCCCAACTGGAGTGCAGGACCATGCCTCAGACACGGGACCATGGCTCCAGATTCAGACACAGGACCATGGCTCAGACACAGGACCCCAACTCCGGTGTCAGATGTGGGACCACAGCTCCAATGTGGGAGCCCAACTCCAGGTTCGGATGCAGGACCACGGCTCAGACATGGGACCTCATCTCTGGATTTGGATACGGGACCACAGCTCAGACCCTGGACCCTGACTTGGTTCAGATGCAGGACCACAGCTCAGACATGGGACACTATCTCCTGATTCAGATGCAGGACCATGGCTCAGACCCAGGATCCTGGCTCTGGATTTGGATACAGGACCACGGCACAGGCACAGGACCCCATCTCCCGATTCGGACGCAGGACTACAGCTCAGACACAGGACTCCATCTCCCGAACCAACTTGATGAACCCAGCACATCCCCACACATCTTCCCATGAGCTTCACAGGGGCCATGAGCCTGTGGCAAGGGCTGAGCTGGCTGAGCTCAAATCCCCCAAAACCAAGCCTCGCTGCTCACCCAGATCCCTACCCACTGCAGGGCTGGATGCTCCCCCCAGTAAACATTTCCTCAGTGCCGGAGGACAAGGCCGGGAGGTGCCGGCAGAGCCGGAGGTGCCATAACTGCCTGGAAAAGAAGCTCTATGGCTGGAGCCTGCTGCCGCTGCAGAATTATTTGAGTAATCAAATCTATGCTGGCGCCTTGCAGGGAGATCGCGTGGCGCTGGGTGACAGTGACAAGCCGGCAGGTAAAATCCCAAGTGAAATGCAAAAGCGATGCACTGGGGAGAAGATGCTCCTAATTACAACCGACAAGAACGGGCTTTTAATTGGCTCATGCTGGGCAGGGAGGCACCGCCAAGCAGCTGAGGGGTCCCAGAGCTGGCGGGGGAAGGAGGGGTGTCCCCATGGATTCCTGTCCTTTGCCACCAGGACAGAGGGCCCAGGGGTCCCCTCCTCCTCGGGAATGTAGCTGCATCTCCCTGAGCCCACAGACAGCCTGCGATGGTGTGGTCAGACACTGTTAACTCTGGAACCTACTGATGGCCCAGCAGGTGGTCCCATAGGGCTTGCTCTCACTCATGAAGCCACATCCCTCATGCCATCACCAACAGTGTCACCTCATTAAAAGTCACCTTCTGTCTACCCCACCACCACAAGGGTCCCTGTCCCCAGGGTGGGGACACGGTGAATCACAGTCGGTCACAGTGTCCTAGTCTCCCGGGAATGCTGCCTCGCCTGGGGTTGTGCTGAGGAAGAGGAGGCGGGGAGGAAGCAGGAGGAAAGAAGAACCAGGAAAAGCTGTTTGGCGCTGGGCTCTGCTGCCATGGCCCCCCCCACTGCAGCCAGAGCCGCCTGGTGCCATCCATCTTCCCTCGTTAAGGAGCCACCTCGTCACCACACGCCCGCCAGCCCTTCGCACTAACCAGGGAAGATAAATAGCAGCGCCAGGTCCGGGTTGAGCCTCTCCCAGCACCGCAGTGGCAGAGGAGGTGGGGGCTGCCCCTACATCCCCCCCGTGATGGCCTCATCCCACTCATCCTGCTCCGTGCCTCAGTTTCCCCATGCTGCTGCCAGGCGCAGCCCCTGGAGGTGGGAACCATGGGGGGCACATGGCCCCGGGCCCCGGTGGCCGGCTGTGTTACAGCCGCTGTCACTGACACCAGTGACATTGCTGGGGTGGTGTCACCAGCCCTGGGGACACTGTGGGATGCGGATGGTCCCCAACATGGCCGGCTGTGCCCAAGGGCCTGGGTCTGTCGGGGGGATGGGGCAGCGGGGTGCTTCCATGTCTAGGCTGAGCCGCTCACAGTGACACTTGGCACTTCGGGGACACCATGTGCCCCACACGTCCCAGCCATTGTGGTCACCATGGCCCAGGATGCCCAAGGCATGGCAGTGGGTGCCCCCCCCCGGACCCCTGGGTGCAGCAGTGGGTGCCCCCCAGGACTTCTGGGCCTGACGGCGAGTGGCCCTCCAGGACCCCCAGGTGCAGCGGCAGGTGCCCCCCAGGACGCCCTGGGCACGACAGTGGGTGCTCCCCCAGGACCTCCAGGCACAGGGGTGGGTGCCCCCCCCGGGACAGTTGGGCACAGTGACAGATGCCCCCCAGGACCCCCAGACATGGTGGTGGGTGCCCCCCCAGCACCCCCAGACACAGCAGCGGGTGCCCTCACAGACCCCCTGACCATAGCAGTGGGTGCCCCCCCAAGGACCCCCAGACACGATGGCAGGTGTCTCCCCAGCATCCCTGGGTGCAGCAGCAGGTGCCCCCCCAGGACCCCCGGGCACAGCAGTGGGTGCCCCCCAAGGACCCTCGGGTGCAGTAGTGGGTGTACCCCAAGGACCCCTCAGTGCAGCCCTGTGTCCCCACAGACAGGGTCCCTTGGGGACCGTCCCCAGGCCGCCACCCACAGGGACCCCCCTGGGTCTGTGTCCCTCCCCAAGCCGTGGCACGGCCACACACCCCTTCAGCCCTCACCCCGCCATGGGGACCCCCACCACAGGGACCCCAAAACCGCCCTGGCCATCCATCCAGCATCTCCCCCCATCCTGCTGCCCCATTCGCCTCCTCTACAGGCTAATACAAATAAGAATAATTAATGCTAATTAACCACCAGGAGCAGCGGCCTCCCAGAGCCGGGGCTCCCCTGGCTCTCATTAACTCCAGCCCTGATGCAGCGGTGAGGGGCTGCACCCAAAACTGGCAGCACCCAGAGGAAAGTGGGGGGTCAGAGGGGCCCCCCCAAGTTATAATTCCCTCAGACAATGCCGAGATCAACCCTTAACTTTCGGGACCACCTCTTGGCCCTCCCGGCCCCCCCCAGCCTTGCCAGGCACAGGGTATTTTTGGCAACAAAACCCTAATTAGCCCCAGTTTTTAATTATTTGGGGCATTTCTGGGGTACCTTTTTTAAACTCTCCCGCCAGTGCCAGCCCGCTGAAGTGCTCCCCTGCCTCCCGAGCCGCTTCTTTATAAATATTGGAGTGGCGATACCGCGTTAGTAATTAACCACTGGTTAATTAGGCTGCATCGCGCGCCCGACCGAGCGCGGTTCCTCTCGATGAGGGGCTCCATATCTTCTGGAAATTCATCCGGTAGCGCCTGGGTGCATCGATCCCCCACTGAGCCGGGGGGGGGGGGATTTGGAGCTCAGTGGGAGGCAGGAGGAGGCAGAAAGGTTTAGGGGTATCCCTAAAAATATTTTGGGGGAGGAAAAAGGGGGTGAGGTCGTTTTTGGGGGATGCTCAGTCCAGAGTTACATGGATGCTGCTTGTGTGAAAGAGTCGGTGGTGCCAAGCGTCACTGGGACCCCCCCCCAGATTTGGGACTGGGGGGAGAAAGAGAGACAAAAATATCCCCAATAAAAGAAAATTTAAACTGTTCAGATGGAGAAAAAATGCCAAGCGGCTCCTGCCCCTGCTGCGCTCCTGGCTCAGAGGTTTTGGAGCTGAGGGGTGAAGCGTGGTGATCATGCCATGGCTCCCACTTTCCCCCCCCGCCCGGCTTTTTGGGGGGCTGATAACTCAGTTTTGGGTTAATTTGGTGTCATCCGTCCTTGGGACGGGGATGCACCATGGGGCTTGGTGACAGGAGAAAATGATGGGAAGTGGGAGCGGGGCAGGATGAATCCTGGCGAGGATGCCGGTGATGATGACACCCAAGGGAATTGAGCTCAGGTGACATTTAGGGGGTCATGGACACATCTTGTGCCTCAAGTCATGGCCGGGGGAGGGGACACAGTGTGGGAAAGGGGCAGCATTTTGGGCATCACCCAAAAACTGCGGGGATGGAGAGGCTGCATCTCTGGATTGGGAGGATTTTTGGATGGATGGGGTCTGGGAGGGATACCAGAGCAGGGTGGGGGACAGGGACAGAGCCAACCTCGGGGTGTCCCCCCCTCATGGTGTCCCCATGCAGCCTGGCCGGGGATGGGGACATCTCTCCCGACACAGCAGCAGCAGAGCCGGCTCTGGGCTGGGAGTGCAGCACCCCAAGAGCAGGGCAGGCACTACCCCCATCCAGGCCACCGCAGGCACTGTCCCCTGCGGAGGAGCCCTGTCCCCCCCCCGGGAAGTCCCAGCAGGGATGCCAACAGAGCTGGGGAGGGCAGGGCACCCTGGGGACACAGCAGGGACACCCCAAGGCACCCTGAAGGCACAGCAGGGCATGTCTCTGGGGCCAAGGAAAGGACCGAGGGCACCCCTGGGGACACATCAGGGCAGTATGGCTACAGTGGCAGACCATGTCCCCAGCACTGGGAGAGGAATGGGGCACCCCGGGGACCATCTCCGGGGATGGGGGAAGGATGGAGCACCCAAGGGATGCACCCAGAGCCATCACTGTCACCAGGAGAAGGATGGGACGCCCTGGGGGATCATCTCCAGGGATGGGAAAAGGATGGGGCACCCCAGGGATGCAGCTCTGGAACTGGGAGCAGGACAGGGCACCCCAGGGATGCACCCAGAGGCCATCATCGCTACTGGGAGAAGGATGGATCATCCTGAGGATGCATCTCTGGAGCTGGGAGAAGGACAGGGCACACCAGGGGTGCATCTCCATGACCACGAGAAGGATGGGGCACCCCAGGGATGCATCCAGAGCCCATCATCACTACTGGGAGAAGGATAGAGCACCCTGGGGCTGCATCTCTGGGGCCAAGAGAAGGACGGGGCACTCCAGGGGTGCATCTCCACGGCTGGGAGAAGGATGTGGCACCCCAGGGATGCATCTAGAGCCCATCATTGCCACCGGCAGAAGGATGTGGCACCCTGGGGATGCATCCCTGGGGCTGGGAAAAGGATGGGGCACGCCAGGAAAGCACCCAGAGCCCGTCATCAGCACTGGGAGAAGAATGCGGCATCCTCAGGGTTCACCTCCGGGGCCAGGAAAGGATGGAGCACCCTGGGGGTACATTCCTGGGGCCGGGAAAAGGATGTGGCACCCTGAGGAAGCACCCAGCACCCTTCTCCGGTGCTTGGGGGGCAGCAACAGCTCCCGTCCCCGCGGTGGGGCTGGTAGCCGGGATGGCCAGCCCTTACCTGACCATTCTTGCAGAGGTCGGCCCACATGCTGGTGCCATCGCCGCCGCGCATGAGGACGTGGTAGGTGAAGAAGTAGGTGCCGGGGATGGCGCAGGTGAACTTGCCGGAGGTGGCGTCGTAGCTGTTGCCCAGGTTGGTGACCACGTCGTCGAACTTAAGGACCTCGTAGCCCTCGTGGGGGTTCTTGAGGCCGGCGTAGAAGGCGACGCGCGGCACCGTGCTATAGGTAGCCGCGCTCACCGCACCTGTAGCCCCCGGTCCCGGTAATCCCGGGGGTCCCGGTCGTCCCGCTTCGCCTCGCGCCCCCGCCGGTCCCGGTGGTCCCGGTTCTCCCGGCGGTCCCGGGGGTCCCGGTTTCCCCGGTCGCCCCGGTTTGCCTTGGGGACCTTGCACCAGGGTGGAGGGCGGCGGGAGGGGGCCGCGTTCGGCCGGTTGCGGGGGGGGCGCGGCGGCGGGGCCGTAGGGCTCGCAGACCATACGGCAGGTCCCCAGCATCTCGTACCGGCCGTCGGTACCGGCGGAGCTCACCAGCACCGGGATGAGCACCACCAGCACCAGCACCATCACCACCCCCGCCGCGGCCGCCAGTAAAGTTTTCCGGCCCAGGCTGAGCCGCCGCCCGGCCGGGGCGCGTTGTCGCCCGGGGGTGGGAATGGTGCCGGTGGGGGGGAGCAGGGCGGC